AAAAAAAAAAAAAATATATGCAAATGTGATGTTGTTGCAAATTGACATTTTGCATTGTCCGATTGGCACCTATCTGTTTTAATACGGTTTCTCATTCGAATATGTGCAAATGACGTAAATATTCGGTATAAAGATGAGGCCACGCTCTGGACAAACTAACGAGCAAAATAAATAAAACAATGTAAACCAACTGGCAAAGCGAACGTTGATATGTGAGTCAAATAGCATATGGTTCACCTCAACAAATATGATAAATTTACATGATGAATCACAACAACAAACTAGCTCACGCAGTATAGGTGGATACATGTGTTTGAATTGAATCATTTTTGTATTTGTTGTCATCCAGAGACCAAATATACATGTATTTCTTCCCCCTACTGAATCACCACACGCCAATCACCCACATTTGGAATCAGCCGGTTTCAAATCACAATCATATATAAATGACATCCACCGATTCATCGATATCAGTTCAGCACAATCAGTTGAAGTGTTTTGTGTCTTTAAACAAAAAATCAAAATGGTAAATATTTATTTGATTTGTTTCACATACATTTTTTAAATCAATGCAATCAAAAGTGCCCAACATTATGTTATTAGCATAAAAAATATGTTTATAGTAACCAGGTAGTCCAAGATGTGAAATGAAGCGGCATCTTCAGAAGTTCCTTCATAATAAAAATTTTTTTTATATTTTTTTTATTATTTAAATTTGGAATCTTTCATAGTTGAACATAAATCGACAAAAATAATGATTGGCCATCAAAAGTTATTGCATTGATTTTCTGAGGATGTGAATCTTCGCAAAATAATAGATAAATCATAAAAATTACCATAATCGCAATTATGCACGCGCTAGCATACAAATGTGATGTTTTATCTCTCTTTTGAATACGCGTGTAAAACGAATGGTGTGATCGCAAATAACATTTTTATTATGACATACATTCGATACGGATAGTGCTTAAAAAAACACCTTTTTGGCTTTCAAAAGCAACATTATAAATAAACATCGCAAATAATTAGCATATATTATTCCATATTGACGAAGATTCAAGTTCTAAACAATAGAGTCGGTATAAACATTGAATTTGAATTTTTGAATTTAAAAAAAAATATTACAGATGAAGGCTATCGTTCTCGTTGCTTTTGCCGCAGTAGCCAACTGCGCTTTGTTGCCACACCAAGCACACCACGGAGCATTCGCCAAAACATTCGCACCAAAACCAACGTACCACAATGGTCCTGTCCAATCTGGTCCAGATGCATCTGCCCAAGTTTTGCGTAGCGATTCAACTGTAAACACAGACTCATTCCAATATGCTTATGAAACATCAAATGGAATCCAAGGACAAGAACAAGGTCAATTGAAACAAATTGGACCAGAATCAGCCATCGTCTCACAAGGTCAATTCGCATGGACCGCTCCAGATGGTACACCAATCCAAATTTCATTTATTGCTGACGAAAATGGTATGTGTATCAATCATAAATAATTTGATACATTTAATGATTTCTAATTTTTTTTCTTTTCTTTTTTTGAACTTCAGGCTATCAACCAACCGGCTCAATTTTGCCAGTTGGACCACCAACCCCAGCTCATGTTTTGCGTCTTGTTGAATACCTCAAAACTCATGCCCCACAACAACAAGAATCATTCGGTGCCCATGTTCAACCATCATTCGGTGCCCGTGTTCAACCATCATTCGGTGGCCGTGCTCAACCATCATTCGGATTCTCTGGTTAAATATGAAAACATTCCATTTTAGCCACTGCTTCTATCGTCGACTCTAAATGAATCTACTTGAGAATGCAGCGAAATTGAATGATTTATTACATTAACTTAAACCATGGGAAATACTCATACATTTTACAATCTTCAATAGCCAGGTTTTCTAATTAAAAAAACAAACCTATTGTATATGAATTGCTGCGTAAATACTCTCTCCGTATAAAAATTGAAATCGTTACCAGATATGTGTTGCATTCGATGATTACGAGTTAATTTAATAAAGTGAATATTTTGAACTTATTTTTACCTTTCGTTTTCATTTTTTTTAATTTAAATTTAAATACACTCTATAGAAAAGCACATTTTTTAAGTGAGCACTTTAATAGTTTATAAAATATTAAACAAAGAAATTATCAACGTCAACTTGAAACACTTTGTATCTTTTTCTAATCATTTTCTTTTGTAAATTCGTGGATAAAAAGTATATAGCTAGATTACGGGCGATAATAAAGAGAAAAGAGAAAAAAAATGTCGCATTGAAACATGCAAAAGTATTATGATGTTAAATGAACTACCTCCGGTAAATTCAGTATTTTGCTGGAGTTTTATTTCACTTAAGCAGTGCGGCGCAAACCACGTATATCCATGTTTATTGTGAATTTTTGTTTTCTGCAAATGAATTCATATTCCATAATTTCTTTCATGCAATGCTCGCACTAATTTACTCAAAGTAATTGAAAAGAACTTAATTTAATATATCTCGAGTATAAAAGTTTTATGACAATAAATGAAACTACAACCGTATATACGAAATCGAAAATATAAGAAATTGTATATTTATACTGTACGGGCTTTGTAAGTTAAAATAATATTTCAATTTCTATAAGCGTTTTCTTTTATTGTTGTTGTTATCCATGAGCATTAATTAAGTCGTTAAGTAATTTGAAGTGGTCGTTTCTGGCGTCATGACACGCAAAAATGAAATATTAAATGGCATATTTTTGGGGTCACTTCGCGTTTCTTATCATTGTAAAATCGATGACGAATTTTTATTCATTTGGAAGAAGATTTAATTATTACTTTGTCAATAAAAAAAGAGATCAAGACTCACGTCAAAATGTATGAATGGCCGGCTTAGCAACTCAAACCAATGGCACTTGCAATTCAAATGTATGGCAAATGCTACGTTGACATATTATTGTTCATGATATTTCATTAATTTCATTAATGACACCTACGCTTAACTATCAAACATTTTATGAGGCTTTTTTCATTAACATTTTTATTCATCAGATATCTTACACTGAATTATGCTATTATGTCTTTCAGAATTAGTACGGACGCGATAGAAAAAAAAAGTGTCTATAACTATATAATAATACCTATATTTTGGGACGAAGGAAAGGTCATTCATTTTCATATGAATGTGTGCCAAATTTGAATTTCTATTTAAGAATGATTTATGAATGGTTAATTCGGATTTCGATGTGAGAATTGTATAAAAAAAATCCGACGACAACTCGAGGATTTTGAATCTTCTGAAGATGGAATTACTTTAAATTGAAATAAAAAAACATCACACTATGCTTTGTTTTATCAGTACAATTGTCGGCACAGAATCTTTAAGCTAAGATTTTTCGAGTTTAAGAATACAGCGTTTCTTTCGATTCAAAGCGAATTTTGAAACTTTTATCCAAAATATATGTAAGACTCTTTATCTGAACTTTGGCTAAAGTTAAAACATCACGAACAACACATTTTATTATGAGTAAGAAATAATATTCGGTTGAAAATATGCTGGCAACACATTTTTCTTGATATGTTTATTGTAGTGATCACATAACATTGAAATGATTTATTTAATTCGGGTTTACATAGTTTTTAGTAATTAAAAGATATATATTATAATTACTGTTGCTGATTTCGTGAACACACTTTTGTCTGTCATTCAAAGGTTTTTCGTAAATATTTTAATCTTATTCGATGAAATGATAAAACATTTTATCTACTAATCAATAACGATTTGACAATATTACACAACACTATTTGTCTTCTATTCACACCTCAATTAGACATTATATTGAGATATTTTCAAGCAGCTGATTCAGCTCAGGAAGCTGAACGACAGACGATGAAATGTAGTGAAAACAATATAAGTGATTGCTATAGTGTATTGTAGCAATGTTAGTAATTTAATAAACATAACAATTGCTTCCATTGTGTTCACTCCATTTCAGCGCCTGTCGTTCAGCTTCCTGAGCTGAATCAGCTGCTGAAAAATATCTTAATATAATGTCTGACCTCAATCGATTTAATTGCCATTCATTTCATTTGTAGCTTGTTATCTTAAGTACTATTTTTGAATTACGGTACGAATTTTCTATTAAAAAATTGTCAAAAAGTACAAAACTTGAGAGTACAAATAAAAAAAGTAAAAAATGCGAAATAGTTAAAAAAAAATGGTATGATAAGATGTTGAGTAAATTTATTAGATTATTTCATCGAAAGATGCTATTTAAACACCACGGAGTGGTCTAGCTTTTAGTAGTTTTCAAGAACAATGGCGCGACTGTTATTCATTGTTACATTCACACTTTTGTGCAACATACTGAATATTTCGGCAGTTCAACCGTTTGATGTAACAAATATTGGTGAACTTAATTCGGACAATGTGAATTATCGATTGCCAAATAATACAATACCAGAAGTGTATAAAGTATACATTTCCACTGATGTGGCCAATAAAAATTTTGGTTTTTCGGGTATGGTTAATATCTCAGTGAAGACGCTTAATGCGACCAACACAATTATTGTGCATCAACGACAGCTGAACATAGTTTCGGCCGAATTAATGGCCGAAGGTGGTCAATATATATCAATTGTTCCCCCACACTACGATCCAGTTACAGAGTTTCTAACCATCAAAACGGTCAACTATACACTTTTTGAAGGTATGAGAGTATTTCTTTCCATAAAATATAATGGAACTCTGCAACAATCACCTTCTGGATTTTATCGTACATCATATTATGATTCAAATGGCAAAGAAAGGTAAGTTTTCGAATTGAAATCTCAGAATGAGCTACAAATAATTCCAATTCCCAATAGATGGCTGGCTACAACACATTTTGAACCAACGTATGCTCGACATGCATTCCCGTGTATGGACGAACCCGCTATGAAAGCTACTTTTGAGATTTCGATTGAACATAACTCTGCATATACGGCCATTTCGAATATGCCACAGGCCAATCAAGTCATGTAATGTATTTCAATTATTTGTTGCATTTAAAAAAAAATTGAATGACAACTTTTTTTGTTTCAAATAATTAATAGAATGGGATCGCGTACAATTTCTCACTTTTGCAAAACACCATTGATGTCTACTTATTTAATAGCATTTGTCGTTTCGAATTTCGCATTTAAAGAACAATTGGATCATAATGGCTTAAAACATCGTGTATTCGTAAAACCAACTGAAATTGAAAACGCATATTTTGCCGTTAATGAAAGCGCAAAAATACTGAACGCATTTAGTGATTACTTGCAAGTTAACTATTCTTTACCGAAAATGGATCAAATCGCAATACCACAACTTTATTTTGGAGGTATTTTGATTGAGTGCGAATT